CCCCAAAACCCCAAAACCCCAAAACCCCGAATGCTAATTTATACTAGTCAAATAATTAAACTAAAACATATTGATAAATTAATAATTGTCGTTAAATTTGCTATGAGTTCAATCTTTAAAACCGGCACATTTGGATTTTCCACTGTATTTTCAACTCCTTGCGACTATTCTTTCGAAGGTAACCAAAACTTCCCAAGCTTATTAAACCTTATTATCAGAGTGCTCAAAAGGAAGAATTCTAGGTAAACAGAGCTTAGTAGAATCAGTATTAAGCGAGGTATCTCCCTCTTGCACATCGTAAGGTAGAGTCTCTAAAAAAGCATCATCAATGTCAGTATCAACCACCTAGTCGCCAGAAATTACCTCATAGCTAGATAACTACGACGAGATATTCGAAAACTACTCAAGAATTTGGAGAGAGGCAATTGCCCAGGACTATTAGACCCATTTTAAGGGACTCGAAAACTAAGAGATGAGTGGCAAACCAAAGTCCTCTCTATTTTCCCAAGTTTATCAGTCAGTTGCTCCAGCAACTACCATGAACAGCAACTTACTTAGATAACCCTCGGTTTACTCAGGCTAAACCCAGAATAACAATGTCATTCTTGAGCCTAACATGAATACCTAACAGCTCCTAGACTAATTCACTCAGAAGGTAGACTAATTAAATCAGCAGCTAATCCAAAATAGAGAGGATAGAGTTTAGGGGTGGGCTTAAAAAATTATTTATGCTTTTAAGATTTACTCAACTCAGCAATTGAGCACGTTCAAAAACTAGAAAGGAATGTAATTTACTAACCCTATGGATAAATTAAAAGATACCAACCTATCACTAAGTAAAGGCGCATTACAAAATTCTAGACAAATAGGCGTAAACTCAAACAACTAGTTCTTGAACAAAGGAATTAATTCCCAATTCTCATCACCTAGCATTGGATCAGCTAATTACAATGATTACTCTTATTTCTCAGGCAGCAACAATATGTCTTCAGGCATGATCAATGGCAAGCACCAGACTAGACAGCACCTAGTTGAGAACATTCGTCAGCCACTTTTCCCATTGATGACAAATGATGCTGGCCAAGTGTTGCAGCCAGCTCAGCAGCCATTGCAGAATAAAATGAACTTTGACAACGACGACATCTACTCAAGTTAATAAAATGTAGACTTTATTGTTTGCAACAACAAACAATAAAAAGTGAATACTCATGTAAATAACACTATCTATCCAACTTCTAATAATAACAATATGACAAACAACCATATTAGCAACTTAAACAATAATAGCAACAACATCACTGGAGATTTCCAGAGCATCAAGACCTAAGGCGGGGGCGCGAGCAACAGCAGCAGAACCAAAGATGAAGAGAATGATTTCAACTTCTCATTCGACGAAGACTTTTTCTTCGAAATCTAGAAAGGAGGAATCGACCTAGACGAATGAAGCATCAAATAATAGATGATACCGCTTACTAATTAAGTGTTTATACTTTTCTACCTATTTTAAATTAAGAGTTATTAATCTGTTATTATATTTTTAAATTTTAAACTAATCAAACTATACTAAAACTAACTCATGAAACAAGCAAAAAAGTAGCAGCAAACTTAAGTTCAACAGCATGCACCACTTGCAGATGCTGAAACCTAATTGAGTGGCCAAGATGATGAAATGGACATGGAACCAGCATACAATGAAATAGATAGGCTAGAGCAGCATGGAATTAATGCTGCAGACATTGGCAAACTAAAGACTGCTGGACTTTGCACAGTACTTGCTGTTTTGATGTGGTAAGTTAATTTTATGGCTAAATCTTTCTAGCACTAAGAAAGAGATGCTGAACATAAAGGGAATCACAGATTAAAAGGCTGAGAAGATTTATGAGGCAGCATCAAAAATAGAGACTATGGGCTACGTAAGTGGACTCCAAATCCTTGAGAAGAGAAAAAAGATCAAGAAGATCACAACTGGGTCAAGACAATTTGACATGCTTTTATGTATTATTTTTCTTCAAGTTAATCATCGCTATAGAGGGTGGAGTTGAAAGTCAGGGCATTACCGAAGCATTTGGAGAATTCAGAACTGGGAAAACCTAACTTGCTCATACACTCTGTGTGACTGCATAATTGCCTAAGTCTCAGGGTGGAGGAGAAGGAAAAGTCCTCTACATTGACACTGAAAATACTTTGTAAGGATACTTATCATAAACTAATTTATAGTCGCCCAGAGAGAATCAAGCAAATTTCTTAAAGATACTAAGTGGATCCCCAAGAAGTTCTCAACAACATTATGGTTGGAAGATCTTTCACTGTGGATAGCTTAAGCACCTTGATTACTCAGGCTGCTGGGGCAATGGTTGAAGAGCAATTCGCTCTTATGATCATTGACTCTATTATGGCACCTTTCAGAGTGGATTACTCAGGAAGAGGTGAGCTTTCAGAGAGACAACAAGTACTTGGGAAAGTTCTGAGCAAGATTCAAAAGATCAGCGAACAGTTTAATATCGCTGTATTTATGTCAAATTAAGTAATGGCTGATCCTGGAGCAGGAATGACATATGCAGCAGACCCTAAGAAACCTATAGGAGGCAACATCTTGGCACATGCTTCTACAACGAGACTCTACCTAAGGAAAGGAAAGGGAGAGCAAAGAGTTTGCAAGATTTTTGACTCTCCTTCAATTCCTGAGGGAGAATGCATCTTCTAGATTAGTGAAGGAGGCATCATTGACGCTACAGACTGATATTTCTCGGTAATATTATCTTTTAATTGTAAATATTATTGGTAACTTAATTCATTAATTATAATCTTAATTTCGTATATTTACTTTTGATGGGGTTTTGGGGTTTTGGGGTTTTGGGG